CGAGTGTGCGGCGGGCGGGGCGGCCTGAAGTCCGAGAACCGACCGGAGAACACGGAGATGCGTGTCTTCCAACTCCGAAATTCGGTGGTTCTGTCGTCTTACAGCAAAACAAAGCCGGAGTTGTCAGAGAATTTTTCCGCCCTGCTTGAGTTGTAGTCTGATTTCTGTAGCACCCGTGTCTTTTCTCACGTTCTTTATGTTAGTTCTGTGCGATATTCCTCAGGTGAACTGTAATGTGCGGAAACTTTGGGTTTGCTCCACCACGCAAACGGTCCCGAAATGCCATTGGTACGGTCGGGCAGATCCCACTTGTCTCGTCTGTGGTATTTACCTGTTAAACCTTCTCAAAGCTTTTGAGTCCTTCTCAAAGCCTGTTGTGCAACCATTTCTTTAGGGTGCACACGAAAAACGCTTGCTACTACCCCAGACAGCTGTTTCTGGTAACCTGGTGAGGGAGGAGGGTTCCAGTGTGATCAGTGTGATTCAGGACTCTAATTTTAAAAAGGCAGATCTGAAGGTCGGTAGGCGCTGACTGCCCCCGGTGGATGCTTGCTGGGACAGGGAGTTGTGTTGAGGAAAAAGGTGTTTAGCACTCCTACAGGGTTTGTGGGTTTTGTTTCCGTTCACACGTGCTTGGCCTTTGCTCGTCAAGGAAACCAGAAAGAAAATAAATTTAAGCTTGTGATTCTAAAGTAAATCTCACAACAGCTTGGGACACTTAAGAGGGAGAAGCAAGATACCCGGGTCGTGTTACCGACGTATCTGGTAGTTAGGAACGGCATAGCATGAACGGGACAAAGGTCCGGGGATAAGAAAGACATGTCCTAAATCTATAAAAATTGTATAAATCGTTAACTGATAAGAGAATCATTATACATTATGGAAAAACTGTTTGGTGACCTTTTTTGGATGCCCTGGTAGATCCATTTAATAGCAATGTTGAAACAAATACGCGTGAGTAGGGAATCTTTTATGTTATAGAACTGCACATCATAAAAGAGTATTATGAAATGTTCTTCTATTGGATTGTGGTGATAGCTACACAGTTCTGTAAATTTACTAAAATCACTGAATATACACTTTTTAAAAACGGCCAAGTCTCTTTAAAAAAAAAAAGAATAGTGCTAAAAAAACAGGGAGCACCCCAAAACTTTACTCTTTGTGTTATAATAACATTAAAACACCTATAGGATACCTGGTCTTCGTCTGTTCAAGAATACATTGTACTTTAGGAGGCATGATGGTATTTTATTAACACACACACACACACATATATATATCTGTATTTTTTTGATTGCCAGGGAGTGCATGTGCTTGCGGGAGAGAGAGAAAACTCCCCAGCTGGTATGTGGTCACATCATAGTCCTTCCTTCATTTCTCTATCCCATCAAGATTTGGGCATGCTGACACATGCACCCTGCATGTTTTCCAATTAGCCAGAGCCAATATTCCAACCACAGTCAACCATGTGGGATCCAGTTCCCATGCACTGTGTTTAACCAAGGTGCTACAGGACTGGTCCCGTATATGTGTGCATACGTGTAGTTTTTTTGTTTTGTTTTTAAACAGATGAACATTTAACTATATAGTGTTTCAGTTTAATGAATTTATGAAAAAGGCTCTCTAAAGTTTCTTCTGAGAACCACATACATGTTGAAGATAGTATTTCTCTTTTAAGTAGTTTAATAACTTTTAAAAAGCATTATTTGACCGAATCTGAATTTAAAGGAGCCTTACCAGTTTAGTGACTTAATCAGTGAGGGCTATGCTTCCTTTACTCACAAAGAAAAAGTTCTATGTATATTTAAGACTTTTAAAGCATTTCTTTCCATCTTTTTTTAGACTATGAACATATTCTTTTATACAAGAACATAAAAATGTCCAAATTCTAATAAGCTACATTATTAAAAAAATTCTCTTTTCAGCAGCTTTTGGAGTCAATAAATGTCTTACTAGTCTGTAATAGTTAAATTCATAGAGTGTTAAATTTATAAAATAAGACAGTTTGTTCCTTGTATCTTGATAAATGTATGAATATAGCAATGAAGTAATTTTCAGAATTATTTTTACTTAATTTTATTTATTATTATTATTATTTTAATTTGATGTAGGACATGTGTACTCACCAGAGAGGACAGAAAGAGAGAGAGAGCAAGCCACCAGGTCTGGGACTCAAACTAAGATCAGCCATTTGGCAATCCAGCACCTTAACCACCACACCACCTGCTGACCTCATGAAAAAAATTTTAATAATTGAATGTTTATTTTTAGAGCTTCAATATCTAATCCCACATACATCAATAATACTTCTTTAAGCAATGTGAGTTAATCTATATAAATATTTTTTTTAATTAATCATGTTTGCAATAACTGGAATTATCAAATCTTGATATATTATTCTAAGTAGTATTAGGTAATCTAAACTTACCATATAACGATCTAGTCAATACAGTACACTTATTTCATATTTCACAATTTAAATCAGGTGTTCAGTCTTTATATTTTAGAATTTATATAACTTATTGAATAATATCTGAAAATTATACCTTTTTCACAATTTGGTTGAAAAATGGTAGTCTAGAGAGATTAAAGTTGAAAGTTTATTCATAGAATTTAGAATACAGTATATGTTCGGATGTAGACATCCTTGTTATACTTTTTAAACTATGGATTAAGACTTAATCTCTGAGTAATGTTCTTAGAATTATCTTCAGAATATTTATTCCTTCAGAAAGTTTTTTTTCTTTTCTATTATGAAATATAACCATATATTCTGGAAAGATGCATAAGATAAAAATGAAGTATTTTAAAACAAAGATCCCAGAAGCCTCCCACCATCTGTATCTTCCCATCTTAACCAACACCATCTTTTTTTTTTTTTTTTTTTTTTTTTTTTTTTTTTTTTTATTTTTTTTGCTGCCTGTTATCAGGTTTTTTGCTATAGAGTGCATGCACTCACCAGAAAGCGAGAAATCACCCCCCAGGGGGGATGGCCATGCTGCAATCCCTTCTCCTCAATTCCTTCTCCTCGCAATCCCTTCTCATTTTCTTCTTGGGATCTTGGGCACGTACACAAACGTGCCTGGTTCAAGCCACCGGATCCAGGACTCAAACTGAGGTCAAATAGAGTTTATATTTACTCAATTTTGAACTTCATATGAAGTTATTATAGGACCAGTCCCATAGCCTAGTGGTTAAGGGAGCAGGATCCACATGACTGACAAGGTTTGAATCCCATCCCTAGCAGCTTGAGAAACATGCTTGCACTTATATATGTGTGCCCAAGATCCCAACAGGATGGAGAAATGAAGAAGGAGGGATTGTTGTCTGACTACATCCCAATGAAGCTTGTTTTCTCCTCTGTCTCTTTTTTCCTTGGCAAGTGCTTACAATGAAAATAATAATAAAGTTGTTATATATAAATGGGATTATCTTATATTCATTTTATTTTGGGGTTGACTACTATATAATGAATATAACACAGCTTTTTCCTGTCTGCAGCTCTATTGGATATTCTATAGTTGATGTTTAGATTATTTACAGTATTTGGCTATTAGGAATGATGCTGTTATGAACATTTGTGTCTAAGTGTACTGCTGCATATTTATATGATTTTCTTGAAGGTATTACATAGATTGTTAATTGTAGGACCATGGGATTGTGTGTCTTAGTCAGTGCCAAAGCCAGCAGGTGGCATAGTGGTTACAGTGCTGGATTCCCACATGGCTGACTTTGGTTCGAGTCCTGGAGCCAGTGACTTAAAACATGCTGGGGGGACCAGCAGTTGGCATAATGGCTGTTGCTGCACTCCCATGTAGCCAACCGCGGTTTGAGTCCCAGACCCGCTGGCTTGAACTCACACCTGGCATGTGTGCGTGCGTGCCCAAGATCTCAAGAGGAGAAAGAAGGAGAAGGGATTGCGGTGTGGCCATCCCCCCTGAGGGGTGATTTCTTGCCTTCTATCTCTCTGTATTTCTGGTGAGCGCACACACCCTATAGCAAAAAACTCTCCAAAAAAGAAAAAAAAGAAACTCATGCTGGGTGCGTGTATATACATGTGTGCATGCCCAAAATCCTGAGAGGAGAGTGGAGGAGAAGGGATTGCGGCATAGCGATCCCCCCCTGGAGGTGATTTCTTTGTTTTGCTGTCTTATGAGCTCATGGGCCCTATAGCAAAAATCTCTCTTAAAAAAAAATGCTGGGGCTGGTAGGTGGCGTGGTGGTTCCGGTGTATTCCCATATTCCCACACTCGACCACGATTCAAATGCTGGACCTGGTGACTTGCTTTCTCACTTTCCCCTTCTCTCACTCGCTCTCTCTGGCTCTGGTTAAATTAAAAATAATAATAATAATAACAAATAAATAATTTTTTTAAATGTCATGCCAAACAGTTTTTCAAAGTAATGTACTAGTTTTTACACCAATTATTAGTATGTAAGTGTTTTGGTTGATTCATATCCCTTACCAAAGTACTTGCTATCATGTATTTTAATTTTAGCCAACCTGGTGGGTATGAAGTTGTGTGTGGT